GCAGGGGCGGGAGGCTCAGGTAAGGGAGGGGGCCTGGAGTGCGGCCGGCTGGGAAGAGAGTGGGAAGAAGGCCAGTTTGGGGCGCTTCAGGGCAGAGCGGGAGGGGAAAACTGAGGTGAAAGCGAGAGTTGGGGCTCCCCCACCAGGGGCTGGAGGCCGGGCTCTGGCCAAGGCTGCACAGAGAACCTGGTCCTGGAAGTAGTTGGTCCTCCTGATTCCCCTTGTCCTCCGTGTGCAGCTAGGGAGACGGGAGAGGGTGGGGCTTGTCTGGAAGAGATTTCCTTGGACACATTTGAAGTTCCCTTAGTCCTCTCATGGCCTTTCTGCTTGAACTTATTTTGGAAGTGGATAGTCCAATTGCACTTCCTTCTGAGTGGATGAGCTCTGAGTGTGAGACAGGTGCATCCATAGAATGGAGAAAGGAAGTTCACGAGCGGTAGGAAGGGTACCTACCTTGAGGTTTCACATATCTGTCTCTTGACATGCATGCTTGCTTCTTCTGTTTGAAGTGATTCCATTTCAACTTGTTTTTCAGTCTCTTTTGAGACTGGATTTTCCGATTGGTATTTTCCTTTTGCATAAAATGTTCCCAGCGAAAAGAGTGAGAGTGAAATTTGTGGATACTTTTAAGAATTGGGAGTCTTCTCTCCAGTGTAGAGATTGTTTTTCTTGACTCTCAAGAAAGGAGACATACTAAAATTCTGTGTAAAGCAATTTGTTCTGGATGTGGGATGCGTGCATATTTAAATACCAAGTATTGGGTCAGTGCATCCTGTGTTGTAAAGTTAGGCATGATACTGACAGTGAGGTAGTGCTTGATCTAGTGCATTGCCTTCTGATTTTTTGGCACTTCAAAACAACTACTCTAGGTGTTCTTACTAACAAGTTTTTAGTTTCTTTCTCTTGGGTTTGGATATATGACAAATATTGGGTAAGGTTAAGTCTCTTTTGTTGAGTAAGAATAATTTCCTGTATCCTTCCTCTTTCTTCTTTCTGGGAAGAGTAGTATGGATTACATGGTTTTTCTTTAGTATTTCTGTTGGCTTATTAGTCACAAATTGAACAAAAAAAACCCTTTGTTAAATGACACTAACCTTTCTACTATAGTAGTCAGCTGTTCCATTATTAGGCAGATTTTTGAGTAGTTTTAAAAAAACTGTCCTAAGAAATAACTGATACTTTGATTTTCCATCTGGCAAACTGATATTGACTTAGCTTATTTTCTACATTTTAATACCTGATTGGTCTTCTCATTGGTATTACTAACAAGGTAGTATGCAGTAGACTGCATATACTAGTAGCTTTGAAATGGGAAGAGGGGAAGTTCTGATTGTACATAAGATGTCTGGTTAAATAGGTTAATTCTTCTGATTACCTGTCAGTAGAGAGAGTCCTAGTTTATATCATAAACAGTTATTAAGCTGCCAAAGAATGAGAGTTGGAAGGTAGTCTTTTCAGGACGCTGGTGTCATTACATAATTAAGGTCTATGTGATTGCACTAATGCAATTGCATTCATGTTCCAGAGACTACACTTACTGAGTATCTTCATGGCAGTTTTCATTTTCAGATCTCTAAAGTCTCATAAAAGATTTGCATGTAGGTGACCTTTGAAGTAATTCTAAGATTCTTTAGGCAAATTGGTAGTTCTGCTTCTGATATTACTTATGTTGAAACAGAATGTAGATTATTTTCTGTGGCTGAGGATTGTTGTTGCCATCACATTTATCTTCCACTGCTTCCCCTCCCCTTTTAAAAATATTCCCAAGACTGTGTGTATTCACCAGAGAAAATGAGAACCCCCATCCCACCCACAATGGGGAATGGTCTTGCTGCAAACCCCTCTTCCTCATCTCTCCCTTCTTTTGGGATTTTTGGGCACAAACACACATACTTTGGTAGTTTCTGAAGCTGCGAGGTCTGGGACTCCAACTGCATGGTCAGTTAGACATGTGAGATTCCTCTGCCATAACCACCTTGCCATGCTCTTTTTTTTTTTTTTAATAAGAATTATTTTATTTAACTTTTTGTATTTAATTGTTTATTTTAATTTTGCCAGAGACGGACAGAGAGAGAGAGAGGGAAAGTGAGAAAGCATGCCTCCAGGTATGAGACTTGAACCATGGTTGGCTATGGGAGTCCAGCGACCCCAACTACCGCGCCACCTTCTGGCCCCTCCGTGGTTTTTTTTTTTTTTTTTTAAGACCTTTTTTTGAGTTTATACTTGGTCAGCCACCAGCTTATTTCCCAATTCTTTTTGCTGGAATTGTCACAACACTTTAGAAGGATCATGGGCTGTTGTCCCTAATTGAACATGTTATTGGAGACCTTCCTTCCCCCTCTTCCTGTTTTCCTTTTTACTTTGCTTGTCCTATTCCTTTCCCTTCCTCTTTTCCTTTCCTCCCCCTTCTTTCCAACAAACATTTATTGCTAGAATAAGTCAGTGGTTAAATTTCTGCTTTAATTAATTAATTATTAATCAGGCAAAGTCTTGAGTAATTAGAGAACTTAGCTAGACCAGAATGGGAAGACTGTGAAGAGCTAGACAAATAATTTCGGGATCAGGCTTGAGGTTTGCTGTTGACGGTGTGACCTTCAGGAACATTGTTTAAAGTTCAGTATACCTTGGTTGCCTGAAAGGTAAAATTTACAAAGTGCTTCCAAAAGTTCATGGAAAGTGGAAGTAATGTATAAGTTTATTTTGATGCAAAAATTTTTGCAGTCTATTATGCATAGTTTTTTCATAATATGCATTTTCCAAGAACCTTTTCAAGATTTCACCTGGTGTAGGGACCAGCAGGTGGCATGGTGGTTAAGGTGCTGGACAGTCCCACATGGTTGACAAGTTTCAAGTCCTGGACCTGGCAGCTTGCTTTCTCACTTTTTCTCTCTCTGTTTTTCTCTGGTCAAATTAAAATAAATGAATGAATAAATAAAATAAAATAACTAAAAAAAAAAAGATTTCACCTGCTGTAAAGGCCAGCCCAGAGTGCTTTCCAGGTTTATTGTAAAAATAAAATGAAATGATAGTTAAGGTTTTGAAGGTAGAACACCTTTTACAGGAGTGCAAGGTCCTCTGTGAAGTGTTCATTACAGCACAGACTACAGCATTTTAATGAGTCACATGTGATTCTTTTTGAAGTGTAAATCTGTATGGCACAAAATAGGTATCAGTGCTTTTCTGTACCTACGTCTGGTGATGTTAGCTTTACTGCTCTGGTTGAATTATGGTTTTTGGTTATTTAGGAAAAAAGCCCCTTAAAATCTTAATATTGATGTCTGTATAAGTTTAGACTTTTTTTTTTTTTTTTTTTTGGAGAGATAGGGCGTGTGTACTCACCAGAAAGACAGAGAGAGACAGAGAGACAGAAAGTGAGAAATCACCCCCCAGGGAGGATGGCCACGCTGCAATCCCTTTTCCTCTTTTCTCCTCTTGGGACCTTGGGCATGCATGCACACATGCCCAGTGTGAGTTTAAGCCACTGGGGTCTGGAACTCAAACCGTGGTCGACTACATGGGAGTCCAGCAACGTAGCCATTATGCCATCTGCTGGTCCCAGAAATAGTTTATTTTTTTAAAAGCAAGAAGTCAAAGTAAATAAGACAAATTTTTATGCTTTTATAAAACCAATTTTCCTTCAGAACTTTAAAAAGCTATTGAGGTGGGACCAGCAAGTGGTTAAGGCTCTAGACTCCTACATGGCCATTTACGGTTTACATCTTGAACCTGGTGGCTTGAAAAATCACACTGGTGCCTGTGTGTGCATGCCCAAAATCCTGAGAGGAGAATGAAAGAGAAGGGATTGCGATGTCACTGTTTACCCTGGGAGGTGCTTTCTCACTTTCTCTCTAGTGAGCACATGTGCTCTGTGGCAAACAATCTTAAGAAACAAAACTATTGAGGGACTTTTTTTTTCCCCCAAGAAATCTTAAAATGAACAATATAAATGAAGTGAAAATGTTTTTGTTTTTTCTTTTGCCTGCTCACATGTATGCCTTGTCCCCTAATTTTTATTAATTTTAGTATTTTCTGTAATTTGAATAGTAATGGTTAAAGTTCGATTGGCTATATAATCATAATTTTTAGGGGATTGAGACTCTTTCTTAGGATCTAGACAGAAATGTTTTCAAATCTTAAGCTGAAGTATACAACATTAGATTTATTTACTCTTGCTTTTCATACATCTGAATTTTCACAGAATAGGATTTTGCAGATATTTGGATATTGCTTGGAATCAGCTTTTGAGCTTCTTTTTTTTTTTTTTTTTGGAGAGGTTTTTGTGCCGGTACTTGCCCGACAGCCGAGTGCGTGTACTTGCCAGACAGACAGAGACAGAGACAGAAAGTGAGAAATCACCGCCCGGGGGGATGGCCACACCGCAATCCCTTCTCTTCCATACTCCTCTGAGGATCTTGGGCACGCACGCACATGCGCCCAGCGTGAGTTTTTTTTTAAGCCACCGGGTCCGGGACTCAAACTGCGGTCGACTACGTGGGAGTCCATTGACATAGCCATTACGCTAACTGCTGGTCCCAGGGTTTCTTGAGAAACTTAAATCTTTCGCTTATTTCTTTTGTTCTTCAGACTCATGAAATGGCCACAGATGATAAGACTTCCCCAACACTGGACTCTGCTAATGATTTGCCTAGATCTCCTACCAGTCCGTCTCATCTCACACATTTTAAACCTCTGACTCCTGATCAGGATGAACCTCCTTTTAAATCAGCATATAGTTCTTTTGTAAACCTTTTTCGATTTAACAAAGGTAAGATTTATTCTTAAGGATCAGAGAATTTATAGTTTTGATTCTTTGACATGCTCTTGTTCAGCTTTCATGCTGTGTCTTTGTAAGAAAGTGAAATATTAACAAAGTAATTGCTTTAATTATGCTCACCAGGGTTTACTGCTTAAGAAGAAAAAGCTAGAATTTCCACTGTAATCTCATTAATTATTGGTAACAAGGTCTGAATAAAAAACTAAATGTTTAAATGTTGAAAGGAGTTCTCTTTTAAAAGGGAAAGTAGTGTTCTTTTTTGGAGAGAGGAGGGTGTTCCTTTTTTCTTAATGTGCTTAAACTTCCTTGAGTTCACAGAATGGACTTTGTTCCTTTTGGAGTTAATGGCAAATTTTTTTTTTTTTTTAGTTTGCCAGAGGGCATGTGTACTTGTTAGAGAGAGAGAAAGACGGGGGCGGGGGCGTGGGGGAGGGAGAGATCATGCCACAATCCCTTCTCCTCCATTTCTCTATCCTGTTGGGATTTGGGGCATGCACATGTGCTTGGCATGTTTCTCAAGCTGCTTGGGCTGGATTTGAACCATATGGTTGGCCATGTGGGATCTGGCTCCCTTAGTCACTAGTTCATGGGCCAGCCCCAAAAGATTTTAATTAAAGAAGGGAAACAGAGCAGTACATGAGAGAAAAAATGTATATTTTTCACAGGTTGCAAGTTGTTTGCAGGCCTGTTGTTTACTTAAGCACGTTAGATTAAGGCTTGTACATGTAATAACATCAAGTGGAGATATATTAATACTTTTATTTATTAAATTTATTTTAAAAATTTGGTATAGGACATGTACACTTGCCTGAGAGTTGGAGAGAGAGACAAAGAGAGGGAAAGTGAGAAAGCATCCCCCTTGCCACACCATAATCGCTTTTCCTCCATTCTCCTCTTGAAATTGTGGGTATATATGCACACATGCCTGGCATATTTTGCAAGCCATTGCATTGGGGCTCAAACTGCATAATCAGCTATGTGGGATCCATCGCCTTAACCATTACACTACCTGTTGGCCCAGAAAATGTACTTTTTAAATGAGCTTTTTTTAAACATATTTTTTACTCTGGAAGAAGAATTTAAAAACATTGAAATGTTTTCTGCCCTTTATCTTCTGCCATTTATTTTTCTGTGTTATGTGAAATGTGTTAGTAACTAATCCTTCTTGTTAGAGGAAATTTGGGGAGGGGCTAATGATTTAATTAGCTCAGTAGAAATTTTAATAGTATTAACTGAGTTTTATGTTTAAAGTGCTTTAAAAAACAATTTTTTTCTTTTTTTAAAAAATTATTTTATTTAACTTTATTTATTTATTTATTATTTTTAATTTTGACCAGAGAGGGACAGAGCAAGAGAGAGTGGGAGAGAGAGAGTGAAAGTGAGAAGGCAGACTGCCAGGTTGGGAATCGAACCCAGGTCGGCCATGTGAAAGTCCATTGCCCTTAACCACCAAGGCATCTTCCAGCCTTAAAAAACTATTTTTTAAAAAATTATTTATTAAAGGGACCAGCAGGTGGCATGGTGGTTAAGGCACTGTACACTCCCACATGGCTGACCATGGTTCGAGTCCCAGACCTAGTGGCTTGTTTTCTCACTTTCTCTCTCTCTCTCTCTGTGTTGGTTTTTCTCTGGTCAAATTAAAATAAGTGAATGAGTAAATTAAATTAAAAAATACTTCTAAAAATTAGTTTAACAATTTTTAAATTTTATTTATAATAATAATTATAATTGTTATTTTTTGGAGAGGTTTTTGCTATAGGGCATATGTGCTCACCAGACAGACAGAGAGAGAGACAGAGAGACAGAAAGCGGGAAATCACCCCCTGAGGGGATGGCCACACACAATCCC